TCCAGTGGCACCCTGCTTTGTTTGTACATTGGGATCTTTGTCCAATGGTCCAAATGGCTAGATCCTATGTATCCACCTAATGGTCTGATCCTATACAAGTTGCTCCCCAGTAAAATGTACTGTAAAGAAATCTCTGATATTTCGATTCACATAGATATGGTGATTTTGCGCACTGCACAGTCTTCAACAAGTTACTTTCATAGTTAATATTCATACAAATATGTTGGTAAGAATATATAGAAAAACATGTATCATGAAAATATTTTCATCAGGACAATTTTGCTTAATTATTGTGAAGCATTTCCTCTTATTTAGCGCTCTTGTTGGTAAGATCTAAGAAATGACAGGATACAAGAGAGGGAGAGATGGTTGAAAGGGGGTCCTAATTTGAGGTGGGCACAGGTGGGATGAGAAGGGATTAGGTGCAACATTGAGGATGAAAATAGAGGGTTTACGCAAAATGTCCATGCCCTGGCCACCTTGCTAAATCTGGATAGCTCATTCTTTATTCAATGGTGCAGACGATTGGATCCTATGTATTCATGTGTCCACCTAAAGCCCTGATTCTATACAAGTTGCTCCCATACTGGGATTTTACTAGTGCTAGAGGAGACTGAGTTAGATCTGTCATCGATTGCATCGGCGTTCTTGACATCTTCTGTTTGGGCATTTTTATTTTACCGAAAAAGGCTTTCGCCCCGCTTTATAAATAAAGCAAACCGCCACAGAGCATACAAACCGAAGCAAGTCCACACACACCCACCCAAGACTCACGACAAAGTACATAGGTTCTGCTGAGGGCACAGCTCAACAAGCCCAAAAGGAAAAGAAAAACAACACCCACACACCAAACACAAGGCGTCTAGTCAGGATCCGGCGGAGGCGGCGGCGACAGGCGGACGGCCATCGAACGGATGTTGGCGATGAAGGCGGAGATGGCGTCACAGTTCGGGGGGCGGCTAAGCGGCCGCCAAAGCTGCAAGAAACCCGAGAATTTGTAGAGAGCGTCAGTAGCGCGGCGAAGGGGAGCGTGCTAAATCACAAGCTTATTGCGAACGGTCCAAAGAGTCCAGGCGAGAACGCCAACCTCAAGCCACCTAATGTGGCGAGAGGACGCGGAGGACAACTGGAGTTCAGCAAAAAGGTCCGGGAAATTGGTGTGGCACCAACTACCACCGACCACCTCGCGAAAGCAGCTCCAGAGGAACTGGGCGGAGACGCGGGAGAAGAAGATGTGGTTCGAGTCTTCAGGGACTCCACAGAGCGGGCAGATACCGGTGCCCGGGCCATTGCGCTTGCAGACCTCCACTCCAGACGGGACCCGGCCGCGAATCCACTGCCACATGAAAATGCGGATCTTCAGGGGAACGCGGACGGACCACACCGTCGATAGGGGGAGGGGAGCGGAGGATGGGGCAATGGCCGGGTACAACGACTTGGTGGAGAACAAGCCCGACGGATCCAGACGCCACCGCACAAGGTCCGGTCTGCCATCCACCAACGGCTCATGCAACGCAACGCAATCAAGCAACTCACGCCAGGCGGCGGATTCCGCCGGCCCAAAAGGCCGACGGAAAGCAAGGCGCCCTAAGTCAAGAAGGGCCCTATTGACCGAAATCGTGGGGTCGACGGAGATAGAGAAGAGGGCGGGGAAGCGGGCCGCAAAGGGAGCGTCTCCGGCCCAACGATCAAACCAGAAAAGCGTCGAGAGGCCGGATCCCACCGAGATGGAGGTCCCAATGCGGAGCACCGGGAGAAGCTGGACAATAGACTGCCAGAACTGAGAGCCGCCCGATTTCTGGCAGAAGGCTAGGGGCTGACCCCGCAGGTATTTATTCCGGATAATGTCGAGCCAGAGGCCACCTTGACCCTGGGCGATGCGCCAGAGCCAACGGGAGAGAAGGTCAATATTCATCCTTTTAGAGCACATGATGCCCAGACCACCTTGCTCCCTGGGCTTGCAGATGTCAGGCCAGCTGACCATGTGGTACTTTTGCTTATCATGCTCGCCAGCCCAGTAGAAGCGGGACTGAATTTTGGCGATCTCCTTGTGGAGAGATTCATGGAGGCTGTAGAAACTCATAAGGAACAGAAGGAGACTGGAGAGGGAAGAGTTGATGAGAATAGTCCGGGCCGCCTTAGATAGCCATCTCCCCTGCCAGGGCTCGCAACGGGATTGGAGCTTAGTCACGGAGGGCCGCAGGTCCGCGACGGAGAGTCGCGAGTCGCTAATGGGAGTCCCCGGGTAGGAGGTGGGGAAAGAGCCCAGGCGGCAATTAAGTCTGTTGGCGATGGCCATAGACTCAGAGGGGGAATATCCCATAACCATGACATCACTCTTCTCAAAGTTGATCTTGAGGCCCGACATCTGTTGGAAGCAGAGAAGGAGGAACTTGAGGTTGGCGATGTCCACCTCCGAGCCTTCGACCATAATGATCGTGTCGTCAGCATACTGGAGGATGGAGATCCCCGAGCCCCCAGAAAGGTGTGGGGTAATCCCGCGGATGTGGCCAGCGGCTTTTGCCTTATCAAGGATGGAGGCAAGAGCGTCCACTACCATATTGAACAAGAACGGGGAGAAGGGGTCGCCTTGGCGCACCCCACAAAGGGTAGGGAAGAAAGGACCAATCTCGCCGTTGATGTTAACCGCCGTGCGACCGCAAGAGACCATTTGCATGACTCTAGTGATCCACCGGTCATCAAAGCCCTTCCGAAGAGGGACTTCCCTGAGGAAGGTTCAGCTAACAGAGTCGTAGGCTTTGTGGAAATCGATCTTCAGAAAGACCGCCTTAAGGCGTTTGACCCGGACCTCGTGAAGGACTTCATGAAGGACCAGGACTCCATCTAGGATATATCGGCCCTTAATGAAGGCCGACTTGTTAGGGTGGGTTATCCGGTCAGCAAGCAGGGTCACCCTATTGGCGTACCCTTTGGCCAGGATCCGGAAGATCACATTAATGACCCTGATCGGCCGGAACTGGCGGATGTCGGACGCCCCAGGGACCTTGGGGATGAGAGAGATGATCCCGTAGTTGAGGCGCCCCAGGTCAATAGAGCCAACAAAGAATTCCTTGAAGATGGCCATGACTTCTGGTTTAATCACGTTCCAGAAGGTCTGGAAGAAGATGACTGGGAGTCCATCCGGGCCCGGAGCAGAAGAAGCATTCATACCCTTGATAGCCTCCCAGACCTCCTGCTCAGAGAAGGGGGTCGTCAAGGCCGCGTTCTCCGCGTCGGACACTAGCTGGAGGCCGGCCCAACAATCAGGGGCGAGGGAGATGCCGCTCCGAGGAGCGGCAGAGAAAAGGGACCTATAGAAACCGTCGACATGGGTCCGGATGTCGCGGGGGTCCTGGAGGAGGGTCTCCCCATCCCAGAGAAGGGGGATGGTGTTGCGTCTACGGCGGCCGTTGGCGATAGCCTGGAAGTATGCAGTATTCGCGTCACCCTTCAGGACCCATTTCTGCGCGCCCCGAAGGCGCCAATAAGCCTCCTCATCGGTGTAGATCACGGAGAGTTGGTCTTCGAGGTCATAGCGGGACAACCACTCGTCCGGAGAGAGACCCACCACGTCGGCCCTAAGGTCAAGGGCCTGGATCGCGGTAAGCAGCGCCTTCTTACGCTCCCTGGCGTCGCGACCAAGGTTGGCCCCCCACCCCTTCATAAACTGCCTGCCACGTTTCGCACAGAAGTTCCACGCGTCAATAGCCGAGGGGGGCCGAGGGTGGGGGTGGGCCCGAGCCTCGATCCACCGCGCGCAGACGGCGTCGGTAAATCCAGACTGGGAGAGCCAGAAGGTCTCAAAGCGGAAACGAGGGGGATCGGCGGACGCTCGTCCGCGGAGGAGAGAAGAAGGGGGACATGATCCGAGCCAATCCTAGTGATGGCGCGGAGAGAGGCTAGGGAGCAAGGGAGGTCCCACTCCGGGGACATTAAGACCCTGTCCAAGACGGACTGGGTCGGGGAGGCTTGCCGATTGGTCCAGGTGAACCGGGCACCAATCCTATCAATCTCCCGGAGGGCGAGGTCAGCAATGAAGTCATTAAACAACTGCATCCGGGCAAAGCAGACATTGTCATTGCTCTTGTCTTCCGCCACGCGCAGCAGGTTAAAGTCGCCACCCACTACCACGGGGAGGGAGGCAGCCGAGATCTTCCGGTGGAGCTCCTCAAGGAAGGCGGCCGACCGACTATGGTCGGCAGGCCCGTAGACAATGATGATCTCCCACTTGAAGTTGAGAGATCTCTCGAATAATTCCATGCTGACGAAGAATTCCCCCCGATCCATGCTGCCCACCTCGAAGGTGGCATCCTTCACACCTAAAAGGATGCCACCCGAGTGGCCTGAGCTCCCACTAGAAGGGAGCCAGTGCCACGCAAAGAGGTGGGAGCTCAAATGGTCGAGCTCAGGGAACGAGAAGTCGCGACGCATGGTCTCCTGAACGGCAACGATGTCGATGTGCTCATCCCGCATGTACTCCACAAGTTGGCGGCGACGACCATCATGGCCGAAGCCGCGGATGTTCCAGAAGAGGGCTCGCATTAAGGAGCCATCGGGGGGCTGCTTGACCCCAGAACACGAGAAGCGCTTTGCGCGCGAAGAGCCGCAGTGCGGGAGCGAGTACGGCCACGGATCTCCGCCCCGGCTGCCGCGGACCAGGCGGGGTGGGAGACACCCCCACCGCAGAGGCGGCCGGAGGTAAAAGGAGGGCTGCACGGGCCTCCGCGAGCTTCCCATCAAGGATCTCACGAGCTCTGATGGCCGCGATCTGGACTAAAGGGGGGCCAGCCTCCCCTCTGAAGATGATCGTGGAGTCGGAGGCCACTTTGGCGAGGTTAATCCCGAGTTGAAGGGCTTACGCAAATTGCTTCTGCCCAACCCGGGACTACTCCACATATAAATACAATTGCACATGAAACTATCAGCGCAAGTGTTTTGAGAGAACCATAAACCATACCAACTTGAGTACTTAATTACACACTGATGCCTCTTATGTGACCTTAAACTATTGCTGGCAGTAAGGCCAACATCACAAAGCCAATAGAAGCTAGTGTAACTGGGAATGGTATTCTGCCTTTGTCCTTCCTCAGGAACATTGCTTCATAGAATGGGATACTGGTTATCACCACCATCCCACAGAGAATGAGCTGGGGGAAAAGTGCATCCAAGTGTATATTATTCCATCCAACTTTCATGACTTTACTTAGCCCTCCCAGCAGGCAAACAAGGTTGAGTAACGTGATAGTCCCGATGATCACATATTCTGGATCTGACGACCCGAATTCCATAATCTCTTGCTCATACCTCTTGGACTCGTCTTCATCGCTTACCTTCGGTGAAACCACAAAATTCATCTTTGACAGTCCAAGTAACTTCCGGAGATTGTCAAGGACTCCAAAGAGGTACGAGGTTATTCTTTTGACCAACCACATCCTCTGCCCATTCCACCATCCTTTCAGCGTGTCTCCAGATGATAGTGCCTCATATAGGCTGTACATGTTCTTCACACAGAAGACATATACGAAGGGTGCAATCCATGGACTTGTAATCTGAACGACACATGAATATTACATCAGTTTTTTAATACAAAACATATATGTAACTAAGGTGAGGCTTTTTCATAGCATGAATCATTACCTCTGGGAAAAGGGGGGTGCCTTTGAGGAGGGCCAGTGAAGGGATGATAACATAATACAGTGTAGCGAGTGAGTTGGGTGCCCATAGTCCGTAGATATGGTAGCCCATCTGATGTCGTAGCTTGGTTTTTCCATGCCCAAACAAGAACACGTTGTACTTGGAAAGGAAAATTGATAAGTTGCCCTCGCTCCATCGCTTATGTTGCAATATTGTCTGAGCAAGTGTCGTTGGACCTACACCCATAAACGCTGGTTTTTTAGGATTGTTGTAGACCGACTCCCATCCTCTGCAATGTATTGCCAATCCGGTGATTACATCCTCCACCGCGCAACCATATTTTACCCCAATCTCATCTCCCCACTGTGTGCCATGTTCATATGTGCAGGCTGCTAAAGACTTGGCTTTCTCTTCAGTCTCATCTATGCTCTCTTGTAATTTGTCCTTGATTCCTGCATTCCAGTCTTCCTGGTAGTCTTTTGTGAACTTCCTGCCGCAAAGGATCTCCCTTCTGTGGAAACATCCGGTGCCAATATACAGAGGGCCACCCAAACTGTCCATACCACCCATCTCCACCTATTAGATTGAGTGGCCATGTTAGTGCCAATAATATAATATAAATGGAGAACATGAGAATGTAATTCAAGTTACAATTTGGCACTGCTGACCTCATTGATGACATGGAGGGAGTTCCCATATATATCATTCTTGCTCAGATTGTTATAGTTCTGAGGGTACTGCACAAATCCAATCTTGTGACCCATTTCTTCGTCAAGGAAGAAGCACAGTGCATCTCTGACCGCATCGTTGTTGTTGGAGTACATATCACAGTCCACATTCATGATGATAGGGCTGTTGCTTATCACTGATGATACCCTTATCTGCATTTCAGCGGAAAAACTGACACATTCTAGTTAAGTCCATTATGACAAAAGCATTACAACCTTTCATGGAATAAAATTGTCATATAATTCCCTCAAAAAAATTGTCATCTAAACACCAATTCCACTCCAGTAAGCTAAATTGGTGTGGTGTCAAGCTACTCTCAGCCTCTCACTGTCTCTTGTTAGGCGGAGGGCAAAAGAATGGGATCAGTGTATCACCAAGTGTTTTTAAGTATCAGCAAGTGCATACATTGGGTTATGTTATTAGCTAACTTCTTTGTAGCTTCTGTACATTCAAAACCCAAAATTTATAGAAATCACAGTAGGGAAACCTACTGTCTTCCTAAAAAAATTGGGTGTATGCATATGGTTTGTGATGACCGATATACGTTTGAATGCATGTATTGACCATTGTGTTTTGCATGCACCCATGAATATGGTGCGCATTTTGGATTTTACTCTATGTCTTTGGTGTCACTAGAAGATGAATAGACAATACCTACTCAAATTGGTGTGTATATAAGCATAGTCCAATTGCAACTTGGATTTCAATGCTGTGCCGCAGACATTGATTTGTTGCAGGTGCTACTCGTATGAATGCATACTACAACCAGCACACCTCAGGAACTTGAGCCATGTGACAGGAGGTATGTAGTCCTTGTGCTCTGTGTAGCTTTATAGACATACCGCAAGTGACTGATGGGGCATCAATCAACTTTCCTATTGATTCTGGCACACATCTCTTTGCAACACATTCAGTGACAATAAGCCCAGGGACTATTTTCCTATTGAGGATTTCAGACTGTACCAACATATTTTAAGCATACATTCACTTCATTTGTTTCACAAAAGGCTGAAGAATCGAGCTTCTTGCATTTTCTCAACTTTCATTCTCTCAAATGCTTGGGAAATTTCTATTGTGGACTAGTGGTACAATGAGGTGAAACTGAATGAAGAAAGCAGAGCACAACATTTTGGTTACTCTTGTCCAATAATGCAGTTTATCAAGAACTTCGAAATTATGAATTAGAATATGGTGCAAGTGCAACTAGTATTTCGCCAAGAACCAGTATTAGAAAAAGAGTTTACTAATGAAAATTATGAATCTTATAGTAAACTGTCTACTTGGCGTGACGGGGCAAGGTTAGTAAGTTTACCAGAGCATTCATGGCCCCAGCTTTGAAGTTATGGTGGTGCTGAGGCCTCTTCTCACGCGCCATGTAAACAAGTGTTGGTAGCGCATTTCCTTCGTTATCAACTGCATTTTGGTCCTTGCCATCTATCAGAATCTAACAAAAGTAACAAGCTTAGAACTTCAAACTCCCAGATACAATGTTATTTACTCCAAAATCATGGAAACCTTTACTACATTCTAGAGGGCATGATAGCTACCTGAACAATTGGCTGGTGATTTTTTGAGGTAATTTCTTGGTTCCATTCATAAAATCCTTTATGCTTTGCATTGATTTCTTCAGGAATTTTGCCCGACATGACAGCCGTGTCTATTCGCTCAGTCATTTCGTCAAACATGTCCTGCCCAAAAGATGCAGAAATAGTATCAGTTGCCATGCCACATGTTGAGCACTATATATAATAACCTTGTCATCACCAGTGTGTCAATTCATTCCCTGTTCGATAGCCATTTGATGCACGTGTTTAAAAAAAAGGAGATGTTTGCAATATCTGCTTACCTTGATCAATGACCATTCTTTTGGGGTGCACAGTTCTTGATGCCCATCTGACTCTGAGAAGTAAGCGGCTGGTGACCTTGGCTCAATGTTATATCTCTTGCAGAATGGCAGCCAGTGCTTTGCAAACAAGGAGGCCTCCCACATGCCATAGAAAGTGAGAATCGAGCCTCCGTCGTCGGAAAGGTACACGCTTAATTTCTCCGGCGGGTAATTGTACGCCATGAGTGATAGGATGGTCGAGACGACGAGGCTCGGCGGCTCCGAATAGGGGTCTGCAGTGCACACAAAGATGTCGACGCAAGGTAGCCTTTCTCCGTGCCTTGTCCAAATGACAAATTAACCGTGTTAATGCTGAGCATGACAAATATATGTGTGAATATGGTGAAGTACATCAAAACAGGTCCCTGGTTAACTGGTTTTTAAATCCAGTTTTGCTGCCGGGAGATGCAAAGTGCTCTGGTTTGGGACGATGGGACCGTGTACCTGTCAGCTGATGAGTCCCGGAGCTTGGACCAAACCAGCCAACCGTACTGAAATTTAAATTCTGCAGCGTGTTCAGCGCTGATTTCGACCTGGTGGGTGGTATGCGCCATTCAGTCGTACCCCAGACTTGTTAAATGCATTTGCTCCAATTTATGAGTTTTTGTATACATCAGGCTTAATAGACATCACCGTCAGCTTCCATCATTTTCACAAGATTAATGTTGTGTCAAAAGCAATGTTTGCCTCTCTAACAAAGACACATATATATCTGAATTTGGAAATAACCAAAGTTTTTTTTGCAGGAAAATAACCAAAAGGTTTTGGCATGTTCGAAGTTTTTTTTGTCATGTATTGATCAAATAAGAACATAAATCTGTGATTTCAAAATAATTGTATGCTATAGTGTGTCACCTTGTGGCATTAGTCATTAGCTATATTTTATCACCTTTGCTAATTCTCATGTAACTGATTTTTTTATGGCGATCTCAGTCGATTTTTCAACCCAAAACTGCACTGGTTTTGGCTGTCAGTGCTCATACAACATCGGTAAAGTGCAAGCCTCCATCTATTATGCAAAACTGAAGATTATGGGCGCAGTTCCATTTGAATTGTGACAAATTGCGTATATTCCTTTCGTTTTTTTTTTGTCTTCTAGGGGCAAACATAATCAAACAATCTCATCTTTGTTTCAGCCCAGCCCACTAGTGAGATAGCACTAAAAATGGTTACCATCCACTAGATGGAAAGCCTAAAGGCTACCAAAAAGTGAATTGTATAGACAATAAAAGAAATACTATCTCTGTACCAAAACATAAGATGTTTTTATAGTTCAAATTAAACAGCAAAAACATCTTATGTTTTGGTGCGGAGAGAGTATTAATTGTTGCAGTGTTGTCAAGCACTATTTTCCGGAAGTCTTAACCGACTGCTCCATTGTTTTCCATATATCTTGTCGAAAAATAATGTAGGGTGGCATCATTTTGAGAATGAAAAGAAAAAAAATCATATCTTGTTGTGCATGAAACGGATGGGATGTCACCTTCTACTCGTTGGTACACAGTCCATGCACTAACTAAGATTGTTGGGTGATCATAAAAAAGAAAAGAAAAGAAAAACCAAGATTGTTGGGCGTTCATGCGGCCGTGCACGCCTCGGCGTGGTGCATGAGGCAGCAAAACAAATGGGAGCGCCGCGCGGTAGGTAACGCTAACGCAGACGCACGCACGCACGCACGCACGCACGTGTACTCCTAGCGCTGGAGGAGGCAGCAGCACCCGTGTAGCTGCTGGTGGCCAGTGCAACTATGCCACGACAGCACGCGTCTGCTCTGCCTTCATGGCAGCTGAGATGCTGACCAGGCACGTAGCTCCCCACGCGCTGGACGCCATTGATCACTGCCGTGCTGCCTTGCTCCTAATCAATGAAAAAAATAGCGCGCCACATAAAATAGCATGGCCCCTAAAAATATGTTATTAGCATGCCATATCGCGCTATTAGCGAGGCATTATACATTAATATAGCGAGACAATTTTTTATATGCTATAGCGTGCTATTTTTTTCAGTGCTCCTAATAAGCGCCCGGCCTGTAAGCAAAGCAGTCCTGCCCGCCCGGCGGCCCCTTAGGCCCTGTTTGGTTCATAAGTCCTAGGACTTTTTTTAGTCCCAATTTATAAGTCTCAAGTCCCTAATAAGTCCCTACCTGTTTGGTTCCTGGAGCTTAACATGGACTAAAAGACCATATTACAACTATAAGTCCCTATAAGTCCCTCCTTGAGATCTTATTTCATAAGTCTCAAATGCCCTCTTTAAGTCCCTATAAGTCCCTCCTGTTTGGTTTAGATGGGACTTAAAGGGACTTATTTAAGTCCCTACACCAATAAGTCCCTGTAATCAAACACCCTCTTAGCCGTTACACGCACGGACAAGTGCATGTGGGAGGGACGTGGTGGTTTCTTCTTCTTCCTCTTCATCAGGCAAAGGCAAGCGAGATGAGCAGCACTCTGGTACTACACAAGTCGTACGTACGACGACGACGACGACGACCACGTCGTGTCACCTCAGCTACGTACGGACTATAGGTAACAAAAAAAGGTATGTGGTGGTAGGAGTAAGCAAGGGAAACACGTGCGTACGCCCGCCCGCCTGCGCGCAACTGCATCATACGTATCTCTCCAAGAGAAGAAAAGAAGAGAGCTGCTTGACATGTCTCTGGTCTCTCGATCATGCATGCAGCCGCGCGCGCGCCGTTCGTGGGTCGATCGATCGGTCACAGGTCATACTACTAGCGCGGACGGACGTGGTGCGTACCTGGCGGCGAGCCGGTCGATGAAGGGGCGGCGGCGGACGGGGCTCCAGCGGACGGACTGCGTGACGACCCAGTAGGCGGCGTACCAGAGCTCCGCCGCCAGCATGCCCAGCCACGCCGCCCGGCCCTCGCCGGCGGCCGGGACGTGCGTCGCCCGGTAGTAGAGCACCAGGAGGATCCCCGCGGCCACCGTGACGGCGTGGAGCCTGTACGCCGCCCGGCCCCCGTGCGTCTCCGTCTCGAACAGCCTCCTGCTCCTCTCCATCTCTGCTAGCTAGCTCACTCTCTCTTGTCGATCGAGCTGTCTCGAACACTTGTGTATGTATGGTGGCTGGAGGTGCTCGCGTCCGCTACGCACATATATGGTGGCTGGGAAGGCCCGAGGCCTTGCGATCAGCAGTGACGCTAGCGGCTAGCCGGTCCAGCCCTCTCTCTCTGTGTTTCGATGGATGGATGGACGAGCCGCGCCGTGCGTGCTCGATCAGATGGCGTCTAATTGGCCACCCACCCGCGCATGGCCATAGGGACACAGTCGTTGGCTCTGGCGGCTCTGTGCTGTGCAGCCATCTAAAACGTGCGCCTGCGCCTGCGTACGTGCACATGCCGCCGGTCTCCTCGCGCAGTGCACGACTCCGAGTCCACGGCTCTGTCCCTGTGTGACTGAATCCATTATCCCTGTCCTGTCCTTTGGATCGACCAGCGTAGGTGCGGACGTAGGTCTCCTCTGGTGCTCGCCTTGGTTACTTGCCAAGACTCCCCCGGTGCTCTCGATCAGTCGATCTGGCGTCCGGTGTGAAGCGAGGAGGATGGATGGATAAGCCTGAACCAGCAGAGGCAGGCATGCAGTGTCATGCGCATGCATGGATGCTCTTGAACCGACCATCACCAGCTCGCTGAACCCACGGAGAAGACCCGTCGGTCGGTTCCCTGGAGTAGTACGCACGAGAGCCGGAAGAGCATTGATAGTGATCAAGGAGTCGTCCTTGTTAGTAGTGAGAGAGGGATCTGATGAAATAGTTTTGATTTATTGCTTGAGCCCCGTGGATATATATATAGGAGTATAATGACCAACTTAAAGTACAATGACAAGACAGGAATAAATCCTAGTATATCCTATACTTCTTAATATAGATTATACTCAACATCCCCCGCAGTCACAACGGTAGCGATGCAAACGGTGAGACTGAAGAAGAATCCAAAGGCAAGCCGACGGACTCCCTGTCGTGGTTCTAAGTCTGACAGTAGAATGGGGGGTAGGTGTGGAGAGGCAAGATTCTAGCTATGGAGCAGCCGTGAACACAAAGATGTACGAGTTCAGGCCCTTCTCAGAAGAAGTAACAGCCCTACGTCTCGGAGCCCGGAGGCGGTCGACTGGCTTATATGTGTATGGGTTACAGGGGTGCGAACCCTTTACACTGAGGAGGGGGTGGCTTATATAGTGTCCGCCAGACCCCTTCGGCCCTCAGTAATGCAGGGTTTAAAGTACATTAAGTCTAGGCGTTACTGGTAACGCCTTACATAAAGTGTCCTAAATGCCATAAAGACTACTTGATTACGGACCGTTTGGATGCGGAGTGCCTCTTGATCTCCTGGTGGTCGAGTGTGTCTTCATGGTCGAGTCCTTCGAGTACGTCGAGTGAGGTCCCTCTTGGTCGACTGGAAGGCAGTTTCTTCTAAGGGTGTCCTTGGATATGGCACTTAGATCAGGCCTATGACCCTACCCTAGGTACATGACTTCATCATTAGTCCCCGAATGGATCGAGATTTGAGTGAGGAAGGAGCCGATAATATTTCCGACCTGCTTTTGTGTTCTGGATATGCATTGTCTTGGACCAATAATCTCTTCGTTGATAACAGCAACTTTTCTTTAGTCGCCTTGATCCATTCTTTTCTCTTGTCGAGTGAACTTTTGAACTTAGTAATTTCCGAGCGACGGATCGCAGGAAATCTCTCGTCTGACAGATCGATCTATTGTTAGCGGATTTTGTGGGATCCGAATTTTGGGGGAAGCGCGCGAAGCGGGGCGGACCACGGCGCTCGGATTGGATAGGGCATAGACGCCTCGATTCCCGCGCCACCTTTTTCGCCACGTATCGCGTACGCGCGACTGTTACGGGATGTGATTGGATTGCCTGAGCCCACTTGTCATTCACTCGGAAGTGCTCTTATAAAAGTGCCCGGCGAGGGTTTTTGAACAGTATCTCTCCATTCTTCCCCCTGCCCCCTCCGCCTCCACCCACTGCGCCCGCTCTCGCCCGCGCCCAATCGCTCCTCGTACGCTTCGCCGGCAACAATGGTGAAGGAGAAGACGGCGGCGCTAGAGCGCGCGAAGAAGGCGACGACGACGGGGAAGGCGAAAGGGAGAGCGACCAGTCGGGGCGGGTCTTCGTCCAGGTCCCGCCTGCCGCAAGGCTGGGTCCAAGGGGATTGGATCCCGTCGACCATCACCGAGAAGGATCTCACTGATATGGCCAATGATGGTTTAATCCCCCACGGAGCGGTGAGGCTCCCGGGGAACGAGTGGCAACCACAGCCGGAAGAGGGTGAGTGTGTTCTTCTGGCTACCCACGTCGACCGTGGGTTCTCACTGCCTCCGAGTGTTTTCTTCCGTGGTTTCTTGAATTTCTTTGGGGCGCAACTCCACCACTTCAATCCGAATTCTATCGCCTACCTTGCTGCCTTTGTGTCCATGTGTGAGAACTTCCTGGGTTGCCGACCGCACTGGGGTCTGTTCAAGCATATATTCACTTGTCGTTCTCAGACCGTAAAAAAGGCGAGTCCAGATGACGATAAGACCAAGGTTATTCCGATGTGTGGAGGTTCGGGGATTCAGATGAGGAACAAGAGCACCTTTCCGGCCATGAACCTTCTTGAGTCGGTCAGAGGATGGCAGTCGACTTGGTTCTACTGCCAAAACGAGTCGACGCCGGGGCAGTCGAGTGGTCTCCCTCCGTTCTCTATGAACCGAGCGCAGAAGCCCTCTTCTCTGAAGGTGCTCCCTGAGGAGAAAGCCCAAGTGAAGATGTTGATGGAGCGCGTAGTCCAGTTAGTTTGGGAAGGGGTGACGGGTATGGACCTTCTGGAGGTCTTTCTTAGGCGACGCATCCAGCCTCTTCAGTACCGAGGCCATTGCATGTGGCTGTACTGTGGAACTGAGGATGAGACTTGGATCCATCCAGAGGCAGTCGACGATGCCACACTGGAGAGGTGGATGGCCGCGGTCACTGGGAACAAGGACAACCCTCGAGGAGCCAGGAGGATTCCGCCACTCGACCATTCTAGCACTCCAGACAAGGTATGCCCAACTTATTTCCAATTGTATTCTTGCCATACTTGTTCTGCTTTTGCTGAAAATTGGTCGATTGATCCCTATCTTGCTGTCTGTCAGACCTTCACCGAACTATACTCGATGCCGAATGGAGCACAGACGCCGACTGAAGAGGAGGAAGCAAGTGGGGGCGAAAGCCAGGAGGAGTGGGACTCGGACGCTGCTGACGATGATGATGATGATGACTCCGATGGAGAGGAAGAGGAGGAGGAGGAGGAGGAGGAAACCGCACCGCCTCGCACGGAAAGACGATCGAAGCTCATTCATGACCCTGTGACTGAACGTGGCAAGGGGGTCGCGACTGTCGCGCAGTCGACCAAGCGCCCTCGGACCACTTCTCCGGCGCCGACTGAGAAGGCCCCGAAGCAATCTCGAACGGCGCCGTCAAAACCGGCAAAGGTCTTGCCAAAGATGAAGGTGTCGATTCCCACCATATCAGGGTAAAAATGCTATCTGAGTCTTCTTGCTCTACACGAGTTTATCTTTGGTCGACTCATGAGTTAAACGACTGATTATTGGAATTGCAGTGCTGCTACTTCTGATACCTCGGCCAGGGCTGACGATCATGAGATGGAAGATGCTGCAACCTCAAAACCTGGTACCACTTTCTTAATTCCGTTTTTTAGTCGATTGGCTCTTGGTCTCTAATTCTGATTCTTTTCTGTAGCTCCATCCAATGTCGTTATCACCCTTCCTGACGACGACGATGATGAGGAACCGCTGAAGCACAGGAGGACAGGAAAGCGTCTGCTGGCAGGGTGACTCAAGACGTGCCAGCACCCGAGACACTGGTCGCAGAGGAGGAGAACACCACTCGGCACACCGTATCTTTCGCGGTGCCGTTGACGAGTGCTCACCCCACGTCGTCGAGTGCCGCACAGCCTTCACTCTTCTCGACCCACTACGTCCCAGAGGACCAAGCCAGTGCTGCAAAAGAAGCGATATGCCAGGCGGGAGTCATGATGGAGCGGGTGAAGGCCATCCGGAAAGCTAGTCAGGCAGCCTATGACGCCAGTTCCGCCCTTCAAAGCAACGTTCAGGTCAGTCGGTCATCGCCTGTTCTGTTAGGATATGATCTCTGAAAATTCTTCTTTCTGAAATCTGTAGTAGCCCTACACCCACTGGGTGTGTCGATTGAAATTCCGGTTTAGTGGGGGCACGCTGAGTGCACCCACTGGGTGTAGTCCCCAAGGCTATGGTGGACTGCTGGTAGTCGACCATAGGCTTTATAAGTTAAGTTCTTCCTTCATTCGACTAGGTCGAATGGATTTCCAGACCGGTGGGGGCACGCTGAGTGCACCCACTGGGTATAGTCTCCGAGGCTGTGGTCGACTGCTGGTAGTCGGCTACAGTCTGAAGAATATGTCCTGCTTTTTTTTTGCTGGTCGACTGGTCGACTCTTCCTTGATAGAACTAGTGGGGGCACGCTGAGTGCACCCACTGGGTGTAGTCCCCGAGACTACGGTCGAATGCTTGTATTCGGCTGTAGTCTTAGAAACATATGATTTTTCCTTAGTCACTCGGAAGTGGACTGTTTTTGACATCTGTCGATTGATTCTTCGCAGAAATCCTGTGACCTTGCGGCTCGTTACACCGAGATGGAGAACAAGCATATCCAGCTCGAGCTTGATCTGAAGCTGGTCCAGGAGAATCTGGCGAAGGCGAAGGAAGAAGCTAGAGGTATGTTTGGTGAGGCTTCCGACGACTGCCTTTGCCCCTTATTTGATTCAAATTCTGACCTTGCTGCAACTTTGCAGGCAAAGTGAAGGAGGCCCAGAAGAAGAAAGACCTTGAGTTGGCTGAGATGCAGAGAACAGCTTTAGAGAAGACCAAACTTGCAGACGAGAAGTTGACTCCAGTCACCAGGCTTGAAGAAGAGAACACCAATCTGAAAGCTGCTCTCGCTATTGCCAACAAGGAGGTCAGTCGACTAAAAG